TTCGATATTTTCATGCTTTTAGCGGTTTCATTCACCATAATTATTTCAAAGTTCGTAAACGACGTACGTAATAGGTTCTACAGCCTATACCAAGAAATTATTTGTGAAGGAAAACGCCTTCGGATATAAGAGGTTTCTTTTGAGAGTTGTTTCTTACGGATTTTTTTATGGTGGAGGGCATTAAAATTTGGGCTCGGCCGAACTTAGCGGTTTTTTTTGTTTTTGAATGTTTGGTAATTAAAATGCCAATTGGAAGTTTTTTTTTTCATTCATACTGAATTCACGGCTCACATCTTTTTCTCCAAAAAATTTGCTCGAATTCGAGCGGGAGCTTTCCTGAAATAGGAAAAAAAACGAGCAAATCTATTTTTTGGTTTCCCTTCAATAAGAGTGAACACGCTCCTCCATTCATTCAAAAACAAGCAGACGTAACTTTTACCAAGCAATCTTTGTTATATTTCTATGCATGTGTATTTTCTTAAAACTACAGCACGAAACTGAAGTACAATCCACCAGACCCTTTTTGACAACTTTTATCTTCATTGATTTTGAACACGATAACCCCCCCTCCCCCTCTCTCTCTCTCATAGTTTACATCATCAAACAAAATAATTTTTTTCCACTCGATTTCACTCTTAGAGCAAACTCTCAATCTATTTCGAGCGATTCGGCTACCACTCTTCTCACACAAGTGTGACTCGGGAGCCCTCCCAACAAAATATAAAAAAATTAAGATTAAATTCTTTCCGAAACTTCCACTCGTCGAGGAATCCCGCTCGAGAGCAAGTTTCACTCCTTAGTGAAAACGAGCAAATTTGTGCTCTGATTGTCACTTTTTTTAGGTTTCCGTATTTTCAAAAATTTTTGTATTTATAAATAATCTGAAACAAGTGTGACTTGAGAGCGCTCCCACACAAAATAAAGGAGTGAAGAGTAAATTCCGTTTCCGCTCCTACTCTTCGAGCAATACCGCTCGAGAGCAAGTTTCACTCCTTAGTAAAAACGAGCTCTGATTTTTTGTATTGTCACTTTTTTAGGTATCCATATTTTCAAAAATGATTATATTCATAAATCTAGGTTAAGACACCTTCCCAACAATGTTACCAAAAATGGAGAAGATTACTTTGTTATTTACAACAACAAATATAAAATTTCTATAAAAAAAATCCACAGAAAAATACTCTCATACCAACATAAGAACACCGGATAATGTGAGCACAAATTTAAATTACAATAAACAAATACCTATTTAAAAATTTTAATACGATTATCGGTCGTCGATACTTTTCAATGTTGTAGAAAAAAGAACAAATGATTCAGTTGGGTTAAATTTTTATTATGTTTTCTTCTCGAAGCTGAACACGCAAATTTTGACATAAATAAAAATATTTTTACCACTTTTTAACCTTTCTCCGAAAAATACCCGTTTGACCTATAGTGCAATGTTATAAACTAATAATTATGTAAAACGTGCAGTGCTATAACAACTCCTTTCAATTTCGAAATGTCCACTTTAATTAAATGTGTATGAATTGTAATTCATTTAAATATTTTTGATTAATAAATAAATTTGTTTCAGTCAAAAACTTTTGTGAAAAACATTTACCTACAGTAAAAAAACAACAACAACGAATCCCAAAGAATTCCTGCAAGAGCATTGCCTTAACTTTTGGTTTTTATTCTCTTTTCTCTGGGTTGTTTTTTGTTGTTGCAGTTTCATTTTCGCTTTTTTGTATTTTGCTTTCATTCTTTGGCTTTTTTGTTGAGTGCAAAAACGTTGTTTTTTCTTCCATATTTTTTAATCCTCTTCACAAGGACCATGACGATGATTGTGATTGTGAGCGAGGAAGGACTTGGAGGAGAGTGCAGTATGTCACGAACGACAGTTTTGAAGGAGCAATGCACTTAATATTCCTTGGCATGTATGGGTGTGTGGTGTGTTTGTGTGTGAGCAGGAATATAATAATACGTCGGCTGTGTTTGTGTGTGTGTGTATTGTGGTAATACCTTACTATCCAGCCATCCATTTATCCTGGTATCCATGCCTTATGAATACTACTGACAATAAACATCATCACGATGTTTTTCAGTTTCTTTCTCTTTCTCCTCTATTTTTGTTTTGCTTCTTTATATTACATTTCATGTGTACGCGTTGTTGTTGTTGCTGCTGCTGTTCTTGTTGATGATGATGATGAAACGAAATAAAGTGTTTGCATAGTAGTATGCCCAAACCCACATCCATGCATGGCACAACGCTAGGGTAGAGGGTAGTTAGTCGTAATGCTAGATGAAAGTATTCCAAGCAAACACACACACACACACCCACAAACGTGCAAACCCAAGGATGATGGCTCCTTGTTTGGTGGAAAACGTTCTACGTTCCATGTGTTTTTATTCGCATTGCAATGCAATTGCACATGGTCCTAGTTCTACAGCAGCCACAATAACAACAACAAAAACATCCTAGTAGTAATCGTAGTATGTAGTAAAACCAAACCAACTCCGCTACCGATCTCTCGTACCGGACTCCCTTTCTCCAGCAATGCTGCAGTGAAACCGAAGAAGGTAAATACAAGGGGGACTTTATATTTACACTCTTGAAGCTGGTAGCGTGGTACGACCGACTACTTGTACGAGTACCTAGCATTGCCAGAATAAAAGTGTATCCTAGCTGAGGCATAATAACCATACTTGTATTGCCAAAGCATTACGGTGCTGAGCTTGTTGCCTGGAATAAAAACAACAACAACAGCAGCAGCAACAACCATGTTCGTCACATGCATGGAAATGCTTCACAGCTTCATATTGAGTTATCAACTTTAAATATGACTATGGCTGTATGTGTGTATCTATGTCGTTGTGGCTGTGTATTTTTGTCCTTGCATGCAATGTTCAGGATGTGTAGATAAACATTATTACAGGTGGTATGGCATATGTGTGTATATGTGTTGTAAGTATATGCCTACATCCATATTATGAAATAGAAAATACACACACACACACACACCCATGCATATACATATGTACATCGTAATGTTGTTAGCACAACATGTAAGTAGCATATTCTGTTTATGTTTTGTTTAGCAAATCCGCTTATTAAATGGCAACTTTAACTTCTCATTTACGTTGTGCAACTTTTGTTTTATTTTAAATGTCACATTCTTTAGTTTTGCTTGCAGTATGAAAGGAAACTCATAATGGGAAGCATTTATTTTTAATATTTCGTTTTAAACTTCAAATTTCACTCGGAATCACATAATCGAGAAAGGAAGTGATCGAAGCATTTTTAAATGGATTCTTTATTCGGTTCTAAATACAAAATAAGAAATAATGTTGTATGCAACAGATAATTTAGCATGATGAAATTCGATTGGGCTTTCGAGAAATTGACGTGTGAAAATTGTCTTTATTTTTCACTGAAAAAAAACCACTTGAAATTTTGAAAAAATTGATCTAATACCTCGATTCAATAGATCCAACAATTCTTTAAACAGTTATGTCTAAAAATTAGTAAAAGATTAACACAAAACCGGTATTAATTTTATACCCTCCACCATTCTATGGAGGGTATATTAACTTTGTCATTCCGTTTGTAACTCCTCAAAATACTCAGTCAGAAGTCGATTAAGTGATGCCCGTCCGTCTGTCTGTTGTAATCAGGCTTTCGAATGAATTTAGGTAGATGGCTAAAATGAAAACAAATGTATATTTTTCCAGAAGGCAGGTTAAGTTCGTAAATGGGTCATGTAGGTTCACATTTTGGTATAGCCCACATACAGGGTAAGATAAAAAACTGCAAAAAAGTAAAACGCCATAATTTCGGAAATAGCAAAAAATTTCGGAAATAGCATTAAATTTTAGAATAAGTTTAGATTTGTTCGAATCGGTCACCTTTGTCGCGAATTATGGCCTTCAAATGGCAAATGAAACCGTCACACGCTGCCCTAACGTTGCTCTGCGGTATTTTGGCCCATTCCCGGTGAAGCGCTTGCTTGAGGTTATTGACACTTTGGTATTTTTAGTGCCAACTTTGTTTCCAAAATACTCCAGTCACAATAGTCCAACGGATTGGAATCCGGAGATTTTGGTGACCATTGTGTGCTGGAAATGAAGCGAGGAACCTAATTTTGTAACCATTCTTGGGTGGCGCGTGCTTAGTGCGACTCAGCACTAGCTGAGTGCTGTTGGAATGTCCAAGGTCTTCGGCCAAAATGTTTGCGTGCCCAAGGCTTTAATACACCCTCCAAAATATTTTCGAGATAATATTCGGCATTTATTCTGATGCCACGGTCGATTAATACGAGCGAAGAGCAACCATCGGCTGTTATGGCGGCCCACACCATCACCATGACCGGCGCTTGAGTTCTGGTGGCCAACCGAAGGTGCACATTTTCAGCTGACCTCTTTGGCAAGTAAACACGATTATTTTGTTTCTTTACAAACTGAAGGACACCTGTTGCAAATGTTTTCTCATCGGAGAAAACCAAATTTGATAGCCACTTGTGGGTTTTCAGCTAAATATAAAGAAATCACACTATCACGCTATTATTCCATCACGAATAACTTTTTTTTCTGGAAAATTCTGACCAAAATACTTTTGTACGCTTGTAAACAATATAATCTGCTGTCCCTGGAAGATCTTTCGTACTTGAAGTTCGAAATCGGTACAACAGCATATGAGAGATAATAATCTATGAGGTCACGTCTTCGTATAGCCCCCATGTAACGGTTATGATTTAAGCGGAATTGTTCGACGGATTTTGTTTTTGAAAATTTTCAAAATTTAAAATTCTCCCAACACATAGTCTTGCAGGGTATAATTTTTGCTGCTCACGGGCATACGAAAATTCATGTTGTATCAAGTGAATATTTCGGAAATAGATATTCTTTTGCTGGCGCTCTTATTCATTATTTTTTCATATTTTTTAATATTAATCTATATTTTTAATACAAATTATTAATTATTTATTTTTGTCTTAATTTGTTTGTTTTCGTTGCAGGAACCCAAAGCCAAACAAGTATGTATTAAATTTTATCATTTTTACTTATTTTTTAAGTATAATTTAAAAAGCTATTAAAAACCATTTATAAAACAAAATGGAAAATATATATATTTCAGTATATATGAATACAACAAAAACAATTAAAATATGACATTTCAATGTATGCCAGGTACACTTTTTAACACACTCAAACACACACGCACACACAATTACACATAAAGCCCTACAGGACATGTATGAAATATGTATTTTTTCAAGTTTAGTTGGATGGGAACTGCTTTGGCATGTATGTAGGTATTGTGTGTACGATAGGGCAGGTGTTTCTTGGTTTTGTTTTGTTTCCATTACTCTATGGATACAGCAAGCTGAAGAAGTTTCGGTTTATGCTTTCCATTTGCTTGCTGGCTGACTTGCTTGCCTGGTTTCGTTATGGTAAACTTGAAATCACACTTATCACACAGAGAGTGACAATAAAAAAAGACGACGTCGACGAAGAGAAACAGACAAAACAAAACAAACAACACTTTAAGGATCCAACAAGCAAATATCTTTAGAAATATCTAAGTTCATTAACCTCTCCTACAGGGGCTAAAAATGTATGTGTTATAAAACAGACAAAACACAAATTTGTTACTTTTTCATGAGTGTCCTGTCTAATTTGAAAATTCCGTTAAATAATTAATTTAAAATGCATTTCTCACCATCTTTTTGTGATAATTCATCGACTGTAATGAAGCCAAGTTTGGAAGTTATTCAAAACCCATTGTCGCCCTGTCATGCACTTGACTGTACTCCATGGTGGTGGCTAGTCATTATTTTTTGACTGATGGAATAAAATGGAAATTCGCGTCAACGTGAAAATGTTCCTCGGAACATTATTGTAAATTAAATAATAAACGAAATCTCTCGTGTCTGCACAAATTCGTACGTGTTCTGTGTGATGCATGAGCATTTTGTTACGACATATTGTGTGTGTGTGTGTGTGTGGTGCCGATAAGTGCAGTATACAGATAGATCTAGAGAAGTGTGTAGGAGAAATAGGAAATCATACAAATGTTAGTAGCTCATGCCTTTATAAATAATATGTATATAAGGGGTTCAAATAAGGAGTGCATGTGAGGGACTTAAAACCACAAATCGGATGAAACATATATATGGAAGCTATAGCTATATCCGAACCGGATGGGCCAAAATTCGGGTCTTTTGGACTGATATTGACTATTTGGTGCACAATAAACCCGAAATTGGTTGAATTTATATATGGGAGCTATATCCAAAACTAAACCAACCTTGATAAAATTGACATTTCTGGGCTGTATCTGATATCTGGTATTAAATATAATTCTTGTGGAGTACATATTACGAATGCAAGGGACTTAAACATCTATATCTTAACCTATTATCACCAAATTTGACTTACTGCTTGACTGAATTCGGTCCGGGGTGTCAAAATTCAGGTCAAATGGACTGATATTGGCCATTTGGTACACAATTAACCTGAAATCGGTTGAAGATATATATGGGAACTATATCTAAATTTGAAACGATTCTCACCATTTTCAATAGGGTTCGTCCTTTGGCCAAACACATATTTTTTGGAAAATTTCATCCCAATCGGATAATAAATGCGATCTACATTTTGTTAACAAATATACATGGACAAACTGAATCGACTCAGAAATTCTACGAAGATCCTTAAAAGTAACTATAGGTCTATCTCGCTTTCTTCTCCATGTTACAAACAAATGCACAAAGACATAATACCCTTGCAACTATGTGGTGTAGGGTATAACAAAACTTTAAAAATGAACCTTAAATGGACCTCTGTTCAAATAATTACAGAATATTCAATCAGACACGATCGTATATTCACCGGCAAGGCCGGCCAAAATTTATTTGGAAAACAGAGTACGAATGAAAAGTTTACCTTTACTCGCATTCGTATCATTTTGACATTTTGATGACACATTATTTTCAAAACTCCGAACTACACCCCTTTTTGACGTGCTCACATAATAATTTTTTTCCAAAACTCTAAATTACACACCTTCTAGACTTCCTTGCATAATTTTTTTAAAAACTCTAAATTTCATTTACAACGAAGATAATTTATGATTCATACATCATTTTTACTAACGATCTACATGGGAGAAGAGCACATGTATTTCTTCTTCTATGCGACAAAAGTGTCTGGATTCATAGCAAATTTCTAACAAATTGCATTCCACTATGTTCCACTAAATTCCATTTAAATCTATTTAAAATATTCCCAACGTCCATTCACTTCCTGTGTTTTTTAAATAAAATGGATAATTTTCCAATTCATTTTCACATTTACCAATCAAGACAGAAAAATGCATTTTTCAAATAGCCTCTGTATGCTTCCGAATATTATTATTTTATATTTGGTGTTGCACTGCTTCCGAATAAGTTCATGGTGCTTATTATTGTTATTGCAGCCAATACTGCTGCACCATGCTACTGCTACTACTACTGCTGGTAGTACTGGAACTCGTACTGGCGGTGAGGATGACGCTCTTGATAATGATGGTATATAAATGATAATGATTGTGGAATTCATTTAGAAGACTAGCTGCTATAGAAGACAGTTCATAACTGTCAGTTATTTAAACAAAATGGATGGATGAATGGATGGATGTTCGGTTGAATATCAGAGACTACAAGAATGAGTGAATGAATGGATTGTTGGTTTGAGGTTTGTACATCGATGGATGGATGGTTGGATGGATGGATGGTACATTCATTTAGTTGATGGCATCATATGCCTCTGCAACATCAGCAAATGAACTGTAACTGATTGTTATGCGTTGTTAAATGATGATAATTTGTGACATCCTTTTTAAGTAAAAAAAATACAACCAAACCAACAACAATCTCGAAAACAAAAATAAAACAAAAATTTTGATTGAAAGTGTTAAATTGATAAAATACAGACGGCAGAACGACACATAGTCAGAGATGTATACATTATTAAATCTACAGACAACTGCCGATTTTGTTGTTGCCGTTCGTAATATCTCAATTGGGAACCTCAAATGCAAATGCAATATTATCACTCAATTTTCTTTGAAGAGAAACCCCTAGCATTTATGCTTCCTTCCGTTGCATTCGCAAGCCCCCCTTCCCCTCTCATTTTCATGATCTCTATATGGCTATGTAAATTTATTTTAAACCCTCTTCTCGCTCGTGAGCAGGGCTCTTTATAGTGCCATAGTTGCAAATTTCAATTTTCTGTCAAGTTTATATTAGTTTCTTTTGTTGTATGTCCGCATGTAATGTAGACTCACACACAGATACACACACACAGACACACATCCTTGATACCTCCATTTTCTATGTGATATCATATCCTTTTCTTATAAGCATCTGCAATATTAGCACACAATGTTTCTTGATGACGATGTTGTTGTTGATGATGATGATTCCCTCTTTCAACGTTAGCTATTTAAGAGAGACAGAGAGTTTATTAAACAAGAGGGTTAGTTGTCTTACCTTTGGGGGCTGTATTTTACATCGTGGTTAGTTACACTGCCAGAAAAATTTCTATTCCGGACAGAAAATTCTAAATGTATTTTTATTAAGATCAAATTGCCATTTTTTTTTCTTTAATAGTTTTCCAATACTTTATGTTTCCGGGTTTGGCAGTTGGCTATCAAATGTTGTTTCTTCCAAATCAAGCTTTCGGTTTTGCAATTGGGGACTTTTACTAAATGCTGTTTAATAGCTTTTTGCATTAATATTACGTGAGAAAGAAAATTTTCTGAGTACAAGTTGTCTAGTAATTGTTACTCTTATGTTGAACTCTTTTTACGAGGTATACCCTCTTAAATGGAAATGATGGTATATTAAATTTGCCATTCCATTTTTAACACTTCAAATTATTCTTCAGAGCCTTATAAGATACATAAAAATTCATATTGAAATCAAGATAGGGTAAGTGTATCAGTAGTCGCACTTTTAGGAATTTCACTTTTTCAATCTGTCACCATTTCAAGTGGAATTTTTATACCCTCCACTTAAAACATAAATTTTAGATCCCACAAGTATATATATATATTCTTGATCAGCATAAAATTCTATGTCGATCTAGCCATGTCCGTCCGTCTGTCCATCCGTGGAAATCACTCTAGCTTCCGAACGAAATGAAGTAGGTTGATAAAATTTTATGTCTGCAGGACTTCTGGTATTGAAAATGGGCCTATCAGACCACGTTCTGGTATATCCCCAATATAATGGTACCTCCCTATTTTTGGTATTTTGATGATTTTAGCGACATTATTCACCGCAATTGTTTCAAATTTAGCATTTAAAGTTCGTAATGGATACTACAGCCTACGACAGAGAATTGTCGGTGCACTTCCACTCCTTCGTATAGTTCCCATACGAAACCACCTCCCGATATTCAGTTTTTTTATGATTTTAGCGACATTATTCATCGTATTGTTTCAAATTTGGTATTTGAAGTTCGTAATGAAAACTACAGCCTACGACAGAAAATTGTCTGTGCAGGTCCACGTCTTCGTATAGCCCCCATATAACGGCACCCCCGATATTCGGTATTTTGATGATTTTGGCGACATTATTCACCAGAATTGTTTCAAATGTTATATTTGAAGTTCGTAATGAAAACTACAGCCTACGACAGAAAATTGTCTGTGCAGGTCCACGTCTTCGTATATTTCCTTCATATAACGGTTCATTCCTATATTTGGTATTTTGATGTTTTTGTGACATTTATTACCAGCATTTTTTAGTTACGTATTTGAATATTGTAATGGACTATAACAAAACTTGCCTATGCAGGTCCTCGTCTTCGTTTATATTTAACGGTAACTCCCTATGTTCGGTGTTTTTATGATTTATTCGACATTTGCCGTATTATTTCAAAAAATCTTCTGGTGCATGTGTGATTGTTTCTTTTCTCAGTGTACTATTTTGCATTGTATTGCCATTTTTCTTGCCAAACAAGGTCGTTATTTTCTCATGAGCTATGC